AGCGACTGCACTCGCCGCCCGCGCGGCGCGCTTTGCAAACGCTGGCTCTGCCCGAGGCGGCGCCGCTGGGTTCCCAGAAACAAGCACCCACTCCCTCCGGGTCAGTCCGTGATCCCCCCCGGACCGACCGAGTCCTGAAACCTTGACGCGCTCGCCCCGGGCTCAGGGAGGGAAACCGCGGCAGAGCTCAGCTGCAGCTGGGTGATGGATGGTGCGGGCTCGCGGCTGCGGCGGGAGGAAAGGAACACACACAAACCCTTTCTTTCTGCGGTTTCTCCCTCCAGGAGATCCTACCAGGGCTGCGCTGAACAGTGGGTGTAGGAGGGGCTCAGATGGTACGGAGGAGATAAGGGAATTTAGAAAGGTCGGTTTGCGCGTGGGACGAGGTGGCCGAGTGGTTAAGGCGATGGACTGCTAATCCATTGTGCTTTGCACGCGTGGGTTCGAATCCCATCCTCGTCGGTCGCCTTTTACACAGGAGATGGCTCTTTATTTTCTATATCCCGCGGGTCTGGAGCACCACGCTGGGGACACTGTGATCCAACCGGAGCCCCAGTTCACCACGCGTCTCCTCTCGCCTCAGGCTCTGCCTATACCCTGTATCGGAGCCCTCTGGGCGGCGTTGGAGGAGTACTTTTCTTTCTCCTTAAGCAGCGATTCTCAACCTGTGGGTCGCGACCCCTTTGGGGGTCGAACGACCCTTTCACCGGGGTCGCCTAAGACCATCGGAAAACACATATTGAATATATAATTACATATTGTTTTGTGATGAATCACTGCTTTAATTATGTTCAATTTGTAACAATGAAAATACATCCTGCATATCAGATATTTACATGACAATTCATAAGAGTAGCAAAATTACAGTTATGAAGTAGCAACGAAAATAATTTTATGGTTGGGGGTCACCACCACATGAGGAACTGTATGAAAGGGTCGCGGCATTAGGAAGGTTGAGAACCACTGCCTTAGAGGGCCCGGGGCTCGGTGGCACCTTGAAGACCAGAACCAAAATTCTGGCCAATGCCAAATTAGGGGCCTGTTTATTAATCAGAGAAGCACCTCCTAGAATCACCCTTTCCCTGACTACAGTAGTGGAATTCACGCGGGGGTGGTGGTGGTGGTGAGGGTGGTATTTGATCCTTAATTACTACTCTATTCAGCTCAGGGAGACCTTGTATCCGCACACCTTCTTCCTGAACACACACACACACACACACACACACACACACACACTCGCAGAAGGTCTTGAGTATTCAAACACCAGCCTATACAAAGGTGCTTAGTGAGTGTTTGTGACTAATTGAACCGTAGGTTCTTTAGAAGAGGAGAGTCTGGGGGGAAGGGCAGGTGCTTGGACTGATTCATCAATTATAGGTAGTAACTATTTGGCGCTGTGAATCTTGGGAAGGTGCTCGGGACAGGGCAAGGCGTTTCTCCACTGCTCCGCAGGCAGTGGGAGTCAAGGTTGTTGAGCCGAAAAGTGGCCCGGAGCCCTGTATTCCACCGCCCCCAGCACTAACACCTCCGGAGCTGCTCGCCGGGGAACTGTGTGCGGCACCGGGAAGGAGGCCTCGCAGGGGACCGGCATGTCCCTGAAGGTGTTCGTTGGTGACCTGCGCCAGAGGACAAAATGGTGCGCAGAGCCTGTCAGGCCTGGAGACTGGAGGCACAGACGCCAGATCTGAGGCCATTGGGCTTTCTTCGACCTGCTCAGTGTTAAAAACAACAACAACACAATTTAAATTACATTGAGGTTAACTTTGGTGAACCAGGAGATTGGACATAAAACCCACATTTCCAGCTTCTGTTTTGAATTCTGGAAGATCTGGCAACACCAGGCTTTGTTCCCTCAGGTGACAACTGGCCAGAGTGTAAGAGTGACTCCCCCTTTGCAAACAGTCTTTTCTTTGCCAAAGTCTCAACCCCGCCCCTTCCTGCCCACTCGGCCCTTTGAGCATTTGTATTTGTACTCATACAACAGCTATTTTCTGCCTCAATTGGCGGGGGCATCTGCCCACAGTACCCGCCCTCACCCATGGCAATGGCAGCCCACAGCAGGCGCCAATTCTCGTTTTTTGAACCAGTAAATCAGAGGCTTCTGAAGTGTCCCCAGGGGCTCTAGTCTAAGGGGGACTGAAAAGTAGTGACTGGGCTTGGCCATTATCAAGGAAAGCCACATGGAAGGGCTAGAGGAAGGCCGAAAGCCCCTCTTGTGGGGCCTGGCCAGGGTCAGGGGCCGGCTGTGATGGAGTGGGGCAGGAGACATTCGAGGAGCAGTTAAAAACCATTACCAAGGGGTCTGCTTCCCACAGACCTTGCCCTCTGCAGCTCTCCCATCTGGTGGGTCCTGACTTCTAGCTTCTATAATAAATCTGTAATCCAGCAAGAACATGTTTCTCTGAGTGCTGTGAGCTGCTCTAGCAAATTAATTGAACCCCAGGGCAGGGGTGCTGGAGCCTGATTTATAGCCAGTAGGTCAGAGGTACAGGTTACAACCTGGACTTGCCATTGGCATCTGCAGTGGCGCAGTCTTACGGGACTGAGTCCTTAACTTGTGGCATCTGATGCTCTCCCCAGCAGATGGAGTTACAATGTAGGACACTCAGCGTGTGTCAGAGTATGGCCTGGCGAGGGAGGAAAGCCCACTTATCAGCCCTAGCTGGTTTGGTTCAGTGGATAGTTGGCCCGGGGACTGAAGGGTCCCAGGTTCGATTCCCGTCAAGGAAACATGCCTGGGGTTGCAGGCTTGATCCCCAGTAGGCAGCATGCAGGATGCTGGCCAATCAATGATTCTCTCTCATCATTGATGTTTCTATCTCTTTCTCTCCCTTCCTCTCTAAAATCAATAAAAAAGTATTTTAAAACATAAAGGATATATAACAGAGTGTACAAATAATAAAATATACAATATTCTTTAAAAAAAAGAAAAAAGCGATGTGTAGAAATACTATGTATTTGATCTCGAATCCTGAAACTTTACTAAATTCACTTATTACCTCTAATAGTCGTGTGTGTGTATTCTTTAGGGTTTTCTGTATATGTATATATTATATCATCTGTGAATCTGGGTAGTTTTACTCCTTCATTTCCAATTTGGATGTCTACTTCTCTTTCTTGCCAAATTGCTCAGGCTAGAACTTCCAGTGCAACGGTGAAGAGATGAAATGGTAAAAGTGGGGATCCTCTTCTTGTTCCTGATCTTGGCTGGGGGGCTTTCAGTCCTTCACATTGAGTATGACATTAGCGATGGATTTTCCATAAATGCCCTTTATCAGGCTAAGGAAGTTCCCATCCAGTCCTCGTTTGTTGTGTTGGATTTTGTCAGATGCTTTTTCTGCATCAATTGAGATGATCATGTGGTTTCCCCCTTCATGCTATTCAGGTGCCGTGTGGTGTTTACACCGATGTGTTTCTCTATGTTGAACCACCTTGCATTCTGAAAGGCCTGGCTTCGGTTTTAGAACTCTTAACAGGCACTGAACCTCTAAGTTAAGCAGCCCCTGTAGAGGCAAATGCCCTCTTCTCTCCCGTATCCCTCCTCCTCTCTCTACTCCCGTTTAGTCCTCATTGCTAAGGTTATCATTTGTCCCCAACCCACTGCTCCAGCCTCAACCTCTCTTCTCCCTCCCTCACATCCTAGGGGCTTCCTCACCCCATGCCCTGCCGGAAGTCCCCACTGTCCCCTGAATATTCCATGTCCATGCCTTCCACACCCTCTGGTACCTCTGCCTGGGGTGCCCTTCCCCCACTCCAGCCCAGCAAACTCATATTCATCCCTCAAGACCCAGCTGGGGGAATGCTTCCTTTGGGATGCCTGCCCTGACTTCCCAGAAGGCCCAGGGCCTTCACAAACCCCAGGACAAGTTGCATTGTCTCCTATGGCCTTGGGAACACCGACCACTCCTTCTCTGTTTCAGGGTCACCAGACCAGCCAGGGCCTGGCACCATGAATTGTGGTCAAAAGAATGAATCCTCACTTGGGATCTTCCTGTGGCTTGTATGTCAGCTGTCAAGGCCTTATATTGCTTCACTTTCCTCTTTGATATCAAAACCCCCCGCTTCTGAGCAGGGGCCTGGCTCAGCTCCCGCTATAGAACAGCTCCCCAGGGACTGTTCACGGAAGGGAGGAGAGGAAGTGGGCAGCAAGGTCAGTGCCTAAAATGGTAAAAAAAAACCCGTGCTTCTCTCTGGGCTGGGCCTGGTAGGACAGGGGTGTGTGAGCAGGCCGCTCCTCTGTCCCTCAGAACCCGCTGGCTGTCTCTGTAAAGCTCCATTTCTGAGACAGGGAAGCCTGCGATGCAGGGAGCCTGGAAGAGTGATAGTGGTCCATGCAGCCCAGGGCTCTGCCTGGGAGTACAGGGCTCTCTCACAAATCCTTGCCCCTCTCGGGCCTCAGTCATCCCAACTGCCAAATGGGTACAACCATCCCCACCCCACCCAGCTCATCAAAGCCAATAGAGCTGAAAGCACTTGGGAAAGAAAGACTCCGAGACCTCATTATACAAACAGAGAAGGTTGTTATTGGACCCAGGAGCAGCATCAGAAACAGCAGAAAGGGGAAGTAAGTGCTCAGCGCTGCACTTTGAGCCGCTTGAGGGAGAGAAGCAGGAACTGGGCTGGAAGAACAGCACCTACAGGGAGGAGGGGCCCCAGCTCTGCTGCGAATCGGCCACTTACCCCGGGACTCGGTTTCCTCACCTGTACAAAGGGGGAGCACAGTCCCTGCCTGGCTCCCTCCAAGGGCCTCAGTGCGGCTTGTGAGAGAGCAGCGTGAAGAGCTTTGCACACTGTGAAGCACCCCGCACACATGCAGGCTAACCACAGACCTGGGGCCCCGCCCCGCTGGGCTCTGGGGGTGGAGACAGTAAGTGTTGGCAACAAAAACACTGTCTGAGGCCCAGACGGTCCTTTGAGCACCCTCAGATCCCTAACTTCTGTTCTCTCTCCCTGCTCCCCTCAACTCTCCTGGCATCCTCTGTCCTGGAGTCCGAGAGACCTGACCACAGGGTCGCTGAGGCCTGGGGAGAAGAAGAGTTCCTGCCCTGGGCCGGCCCACACTCCCACTCGGAACCTGAGGCTGGGGCCACACCAGCCGCACCCTCGGCGAGGCCCCGCTGTGGCCTCGGATCTCCCTCGATGGCCAGGGTTGTGTCCTGTGACCAACAGATACATGCGCTCCCGGTGCTGGGGCAGGGCCACGACCCTGGGCCCTCGGCCCTCGGCCCCGACCGCCACCTGCTCAGGGAGGGCTTCTGTGCTTCTGGATAGTGTCCGTCTCTGAATGTCGCCTCTACCCTGGGGGAGGGTTGGAATGACCGGTGGTGAGGTCTTCCTCGCAGCACCCCGAGGAAGCCGGGAAGGAAACGGCACCTGCCTCCTCCTGGCACCTCCAGACCAAGGGGCCCCGGCCCAGCAGAGCCTGATCCGGCTCGCCACTCCTCTGCCCTGGGTCTCGGCTGCGAAGGGGCGGCGAGAAGAGAGCGGCTGGGAGAGCCCTCCACGGGGCCTTCAGAGCAGCGCCTTGAAGAGGAAGGAGAGGGAGGCTCCGCAGGACAGCCCCAGGGCCAGGAAGAAGGTCATGAGGGCGCCGGCCACCTCCCTCTCGTGTGGCAGCACCTGCCTAGAACACACAGGGCGGGAGCTCTTAGACAATGCCCTGCCCAACCCGGACCCGCCCCAGTGGCCCTGCCCTCCTTCGGGGACACTGAGTTCTGGTCTGTGCGGACCCAACCTCCAGTCACGGGAATGAGGCCCTTCTCTCCGGACTTGTTTCCCGATCGGTGAAACGGGGGCCCTGGACAAGGACATCTCTAGGCCCCTGGGGCCCAGTATCTAGGATTCTAGATTCTGCTGTCCCTCTCGATAAAACGTCCCCACACTGCCCGCCCCCCTCACCTCTGGATTCTCAACTCCATTGTTCCGACACTAACAGCCTATGAACCCCGCTTAAAGCAAAACTTTAGCTTCCCTTCAACTGAGAACTGGGGAGTATCTGGGCCCAAAGAAATAATAGTCCAACCCGTTTATCTCACAGATGGGGAAACTGAGGCCCAGCGAGGAGGCCCCAGAACCAGTGCCTGGGTGACTTTCCCAGGCAGGAACCTCCCCAGTGGAGTCATCGTCTACCTAGCTCCTGGGCCGACAGGGTGACACCAGTGAGGCCTGGAGGCAGCTGGGGCAGGGCTGGCCAGAGCAGAATGAGCCCCCCCTTGCAGGCTGTCCCCCCTCAAAGAGTTAACCCACCTCCCACCCCCAGGCCCTCCCGGGCCGTCCCCAGACCTGGGCGCCAGGCACATGGTGAGAGACACCAGGTAACCATTGGAAACAGCGAAGACCATCATGAAGGTGATGAAGTAGGCGTCCTGGGGGAAGAGGGTAGGCAGCCGGGACCTCTGGGGCACGTGGCACAGCATAAAGAGCGGAATGAACAGGACGCGAAGGCAGACCAGCAGGGGCAGCAGCCGGCTGTCCTGGTCCGGCTGCGGCAGAAGCGGGGGTCAGGGCAGTCCCTGCGAGCAGGGTCTCTGCTCCAGGGGCACCCCGATAGACTCATGCCTCACTTCCCCTGAGCCGCCCCTACGTGAGCTGGTCAGGACCCAGCTCTTGGGCCTGTGGAGGGCGAGGGGGTGGGCCAAGGCCACCCAGTGTGCAAGGACCGGCCTCTGCCTCTGCCCATCCCCACCTTGTGGTCTCTCCATCACAGAACAGGAAGAGGCCTTAGACAGCATCTTTGGTTTTCAAACTTGGTTCCTCCGAACATCCCTGGGGGTTCAACAGGCCCCTTTGGGGTGGATGGGGCTGCTGAATGGGATTGGAGGCTGGGGATCCAAGCCCCATCCTGCTTGGATCGGAGCAGGTCCTCTTGGATCTACTGTATTTACTGTGTCTCCTTGAGAGATTTCATTTAATGACGCAGCACTTTGGCTCAAAGCTATGCAAACACTAGGACCGTTGTGGCCCCTCTCACGTGGTGCAGAAACCTCCACGCACGTCTCCAAGCACAGAGGGCTGGCCCTGGGCTGGATGCTGGGACACGGGTCAACTGGACAGAGTGTCCGCTTCCAAGGAGCTCCCAGTGCAAGCCCGGGCTTGCATACCTCTCGGAGCCGCTGCTCCCTGCCACTGGTGCCTGTCCATCCCAGGCCCAGACAGTTGGACTGTTGGGAAATGCCCGTTCTGTGCTCTTTCACACCCTCTGCTATCCAGCTGCTTCCTAGAACCTTCAGGCCCCCCGCCCAGGTGTGCTCACCCACATGAAGTACGAGGTCAGGCTCCGGCCCAGGCAGTCCATGATGTTGAAGAGCAGGAAGCAGCAGATGGGGTTGAAGAACTGACCTAGGAGAGAGAGAGGCTCACCCTGGTTCCCACTCCCCTCTTCCTGCTCTCCCCTTCGCTCCCCTGCCCAGCCCTCTTCCGCTTCCCAGCACTCACTCCACTTCCCAGGGCTGGTGGAGCTGGTCACCATGGCTGTGATGGCGGGGAAGACAGACAGGGTGACTGTGAAGACCAACACAAGGTACAGCGCTGTCAGCCAGATCTGGGAGCCGGAGGCAGGGGTGTGAGCGGGGGGGGGCAGGCCTGGGGCCTAACGCTCAGCCCCTCCCTCCTGCCACAGCCCTGGCCCAGGAGCAGGACACCCGGGGCCTGGCTCTGCTGTGTCCGCGACCCACTGACCCTGCCACCTTGGGGTGGACCAGGTGAATACTAAGGTCCCGTTCCATTCTGAGTCTCTGGGGAGGGCCAGAGAGAGCGGCGTCTCTTCCCCAGGGGTGGCGGTCGGGGGTTGTATCCAAGGCAAACCTTTCGGAAGACAATGAAAACGGAAGGTTTTCCTGGCTTCTGGGTTTCTTCAGGCTCCTGCTCTGGCTCCTTCTCAGGGTCAAGTTCCAGAGTCAGGGCTGCCTTCTGAGGGCTGTTGGGAATCCCGTTCTTCTCATCTGGGGCAAGAGGAACGGCTGGGTCATGCCTGTGAACCTTACCTATGAGGGGAGATTCCCAGCATTTAAAACAAGTGACCCTCCTTCAGCCCAGGGTTCAGGCAAAGAGAACTAACAACCGAAATAGGCTTGGCTACTATTTATTAAGCACACGCATGTGCTGGGTAGATGAAGCACCTTGAAGGGACTATCTCACTGCCATGGCTCTATAAGGAAGGACATGGAGGCTCAGGGGGGTTCAGTGACTTGCCTGAGGCCACACAGCTTGGATGTTGTGAAGCTGGAACTCACACTCAGATGCATTCGGATCCAGAACTTGCATGCCCGAAGTGCTACTGCCTCCCCCTTACGGAGGAGGACTCTGAGGCCCAAAGGGCAAAGGGATGACTTCATTCATGATTTTTTTTTCTGCCTCTGCTCATACAAGGCTACTACTAGCGGGGAGGGCTCTAGTTGGAGACAGAAAGCACGTCTTTCCCTGGGGAGGGGCCTCTAGCTTCCTCTGGGCCTCCCCCTGCCCAGCAGGGCCCAGGGCTCACCAGACCGGAGGAGTTCAGCTTTGGTCTCCAGCTCCTGACCTTGTGCCAGCGATGGTTTCCTGGCCAGGTAGTAGCGGGCCAGCTCCTGCAGAAGGCAAGCGTTGGTCCTGCCGGGCTTGGTTGAGGTGTCTGGATCCCTCCACACCCCGTTGGCTTAGAGGCTGTGTGGGGTGCGGCTACAGTGTTTGGACAGTTTCAAGCCTCGGACTGAGGAGAGGGGACAGTCCTCTCGTTGCCACGTGCAAGTCCCAGCTTGGAGGGCAGAGCCCTCCCAGCACAATTATAGCCAACAGCTCGTGTTGTGAGCTCGAACCTATGGTCCGAACACATGGCCCCACGCGCCTGAGTGACAGAGTTCAGGTGCATGTAGTTGAGTGGGACTGAAACCCACGAGAATGTTGTAAACAACGTGATCATGCCCTTACTTTGCCTTGCGCATCTGCTATAAAATAAAGACACGGCTGTGGGTGCTGGCGCTGTCCATCAGAGGGGCAGCGTCCCACCGAGACCCAGCTCATTCTCTTGTCTGTCTTTTCTTAATCCTTCGCTGCCCCCTCTTAGGGTCACTGAGCCAGGCTGAGCTGACGTGGCACATAAGGTGCCCTGGGGCTGAGGATGCCATGGCCGTGCCGGCTCCCCACAGGCTGGGGTCCCCTAGTGGCTGACTCCGTTGGGGATCAGGACTGGGGCTAGGTCCCCTCCACCTCCCTTGGTGTCTCTTGGGGCGTCAGGCTCAGGTCAGGGCTGTATCTGAGATGCTCTGAAGTGCAGCCTCGACTTCAATGCCAGGCTCACCATGTAGGGCAGGCTCAGGTAACACACGATGGACACGAAGATGCCCACGCAGGGTGTGATGAAGTACCCCAGGGCCGAGGTCTGGGCATCCACGCCGCCTGTTAGGAAACTCCAGCTGCAGCGGGAGGTGGCTGGTCCCACTGGCTCCCACAGGGAGAACAACTCAGGTCCCACTTCCTATTATGACCGTCTCAGATTCACCTCCCGGCCTCTGCCACGCCTCTCACAACCAACGCAGGAATCTGGTCAGGGCCCCAGCCCAGCCCTTCACCTCTCTCACTCGCACTGTGCTGTTTGTTTGTTTTTGAGCACCTACTATGTGCTCATTATTACTGCATGCTCCTTACAATCCGATGATGGAACCGTAATAACCATGTTGGTGAGGAAACTGACACAGGTTAGGTGCTTCGTCCAATGCCCCGCCACTAGGGAGCAGAGGAACGGTGATTTGAACACAAATCTATCTGAATCCCAAACCTGTTCCTCCTTGCCCCAACCTCACCTGCAGCGACATGTCACTGTTGGCCTAAGGAATCCTGCCCCTGGCTCCCAGTCAACCCAATCCTCACCCAGTCACTCCCTCACTGTAGAACCCAAACCCCATCCCCAGCTCCCCACCACCTCTGTCTCCACCCAGATCCCAGAGCATTGCACTCCTGGCACACTCTCCCAACCCCCCAGAATCCCATTTTTTTTCACCCAAGTCTACTCACTGGCCATGGACATGAGCATGGCAAGAGCAGCAAAGATCCCAGCCAGGCCCTGGCCGCTGAGGAAGAGGGTGCTGTAGGTGGAGGGCATGGTGCCCAGCTGTCCAAAGAGGCTGCCCTGCAGAACTGCACAGAAGGCTGTGGAGGCACAAGAATGGAGACTGCGGCTCAGCTAGGTGGGCCTCAGGGGCTCCCTGGGCGGGGGGTGTCACAGGACACACTGTGGACTCTGGATGAGGTTGGTAGGCATCCCCTGGGGGTAACAACCCCCATTCACTCCTCTTTGGAGGTGCAGCCATACACTTGCAGGTCTAGGGGTCAGGAGGCCAGCTCTTAGAGCAGCGGGGGCCTGTCAGTGACTTTTCCTCTCCCCCGGGCCTGTTTCTCATCAGGGATCTGGGTGCTGCTGCTGCTGCTGCCTTCCCTTTTTGGATACATTGGGCCCTTTTAGTTACAAAAAGGAGGCTGGGCTGAAGTCCTGGAGGGGGGGGGGCCTGGGCAGGGAGGTGGGTAGGGGCAGTGGTCCTCACAGTTGATGAACCAGACAGAGGCCATGGTGATGGAGAAGAAGGGTCCGGGTGTCATGTCCACCTTGACCAACGCCGCCGTGAGGGCAAAGAGCAGGAGGATGACCAGCAGGCTGCCCAGGATCCGCACCGTCTCAGGGATGCTGCTCATAAGGGGGGCAGAGAGGGCATCAGCTGGACCAGGTCAGGCCGAGGGAGGTGGCAGGAGGTTCAGCCCAGGGCTGGGCAGGGGGTGGGGGAAGATGCAGGGAGTGTGGAGGAAGGAAGGGAGGTCTTCCCTGGGCCCAGATGGAGCTGCCTCAGCAGGGGTGGGGCAGGGACAACAGAGGATGGCCTGGGAGGGAGTCCGGAGGCCGGCCGCTCACCACTGGTACAGGAAGGAGTTGAGGAGCGTGAAGAGCAGCAGGGGCAGCTGGGACAGCAGCGTCACCCAGTTGTTGAAGTTGAAGGTGTCTGCAGGGCCAGTGTGGTTGGTGCTCAAGGTCACAATCGTGCTGTTGGCCCCCGCCAGCCGCCCCTGGAAGTACTGCCAGGGGTCCGGGAGAGGGGGGACAGGGTCACCCTACAGCACACCCTCAGGAACCACCCGGCCTCCCCGCTGCCAGCCCCGTCTTGGGATGGTTCGGTTAATTTCTGTGGGGACTGTCTGTCTGTCCTTGTCCTGTTCCCAGAACCTGGCACAGATGGAGCTCAGTGAATGTGCACTGAATCGAACGGCTGAGATCTGGAACAGAGCCGAGCCCTAAGAACCCCCAACGGGGCCTTGCTGCATCTCCAGATCACCCCTCTCCACCAGTGTCCTGGCTCCCGCCCCCACCGCCGCTCCGGCAGCAGCTTCTAGGTTCCTGAGTACTCACTGAGCGCTACAGTAAGCCAGGCTCTGGCCTACGTGCTGACCAACCATATTCTCTCTGGAACGCACACCCTGCTTAACCCCCACCCCCTTCCCAGTGCCCATGGCTCCCTGGCCTGCAGGGCAAAGCCTCGGTGTTTGGAAACAGCATTTGGGGCCTACAGAACCAGAGCCCAGCCTCCCTTTGTGCCCCATCTCTTGCTCTGCTCCCTCCCCTGGAGACCCAAGCCTGGGAGGCCAGGGTCACGTTTCGTTACATTATTAATAGCTCCCTTGCTTTCTAGACCAGAGGCGAATTCAGTTTGGGGTCTGCAGGGCCCAGCACAGAGCCGGCACCGAGGAGCGTCTAGAAAGCTGTACTGAACGTATATGAACAACCCAGTCCCAGAGAGAACAGCTACATTCCTGCCTTTCCTGGCGAGAACTCAGCTCTGTGAGGATGCAGCCTTCCTCTGCTGTTTCCTCCAGTGCCCCCGGTGCCAAGACCAGGGCGTGGCCCACAGTAGGTGCACATTTACTCTCTGTTGGATGAATGACTGTAACCCGTACTGTGGGTGCCGTTTTGGAGTGACGAGCACAGGACCCCCTGGGCCGGTGGCCATGCCCCTCTTGGATCGGGCAGCCCCGAAAGCTTGACCTTCCTAGCCAGAGGGGCACCTCCTCTCTCAGGGGCTCCACGCTTCAGCGGGCACCCGGGCACAATGAGGAGTCCAAGGCGGCGTCGCAGGGACAGAGGGCGGTTGTGGCCGTGGGGCTGTCACTCCGCCGCGAGTCTCACCGGGATGGCCGTGATGAAAAAGTTCCAGGGAAGGAGCGTGCCCAGCCCAAGGATAAAGAAGCTGACCCCGACCAGGTGGTAGCTGTGGGGATCAGTCAGAAGGTCACCCCGAGGACTCAGCTCCTCGGGCGCCCCTCCCGTCCCCCACTCCTCCCCCATCCTCGCTGCGGAGCGGACTACAGCCCCCATCACCCTGGCGCAGGCCGCGGAGGGAGGCGGCTAACGGGAATTGTAGTTCCATTCGCTCGGCTCTGCGCCTTAGCGCGCCCAAGGAAGCGGGTCTGCGCCGCCCACCGCCACCGGATTTCCGTGCACACCCCACTGGATCCCCAACTTGCCTGTCCTGCGGGATGTCTCCTCGCGCCATGGCCGCCCCGCGCGATGCTCCCGGGGGTAGAGAGGTGGGATGCCGCACCTGCACCTGCGCGTGGC